CTCACTGAAGGCTCCAGGAGAACCCTCTGCAAGTCGCTGGAGCTCCCTTCCTGGGCACTGTGTCCTACGGATTCGGGCTGCCTTGGGCCCCTCAGTCTCTGTGGGACACTCTGGGCGCTGTGTGGGTTTCTCTTTGCTGCACTGTGGCCTGGAAAATACACAGTAGCCGGGGCGCTTGACAGGCTCTCTCCGGGATCACCGCTTTCACTGTCTGTTGTCCAGAGCATGAACACTGTTGTTTTCCGCAGAGTCAGTGTTTCACTTGTTCAATGCTGGAGAATAAGGCCAGTTCGTGTTCTTCTATCACCGATGAGCAGGCGTTCTTCCTGTACTTGGGCACCAGTTCTGGGTGCAAATGCTGAGACCATCCCTCCAGACTGGGGGCTTACCTTTTCCCTCTTCTGATGTTGCCATTTGCTGAACAGAATTTCGGTTTTAGTGATCTCCAGTGTATCTGTCTTTGCTTTTTGTGTCCTAAGAAGCCCTGCCCTGAAATCATAAGATGCTCTGTTATGTGTTATTTTTTAATCTTTTGTATTTATCTACAAGCCTCTTGGAATAGTTTTTTTGTTTGTTTGTCTTTGTTTTTGTTTTTGTTTTTTGCACATGGTAGGATGTCAAGATTGATTTCCACCCCAGACCCTGATATCAAGTGGACCCATCACATTTTCCTCATTGCTCTGCAGTGCCTTTTAATGGACGATTATAAGTTACTTAAAGTGCTCGTTGTGATTATTTGATGTATGTATACCTTTGAAAGGATTCTTTTCATCTAAACAATGAACTCATCCATCATCTCACTTTTGGTTCTTTTTTTTTTTTTTTTTTCTTTTTAATTGCAGACAGCATTTAAGTTCTACTCTCTGCAAATTTCAATTGTACGATATGGAGTCAACAACTATAGACACTTTTTGCCTAATCGCCTCAGAGCTTATTCATGTTATAGCTGAAAGTCTGTACCCTTTTACTTCCTTCTCCCTAGCTCTCTAACATCCCAGCCCCCACATTCCTTCTTGCTTTCTACACTCTCTTGATAATTGTAGCTTTTTAAAAGTGTTTTGGTCACACTTTGTTACTTGGATTTGTTAAAGTTCTTAGAACATTTACTCCCCGTTATCATTTGTAAGACTTTGAGGAAACCATATCAATGTGGTCAGAATTTAGGCCTTGGCTGGATTAGTGAAGTTGGTAATGGCACATTTCACTGGTCCCTGTTGGGAGGCTGAGAGTTAGCTACCGCTCAGGGCCAGTTATTGACATTCCCTTCCCTGGCATTTGTAAATGTACTTGAGTTGGCTTTATGATAATGAGAGCTTCACTGATAACTTCAGCTGACTTTTTTCTTCTCTCTTTAAGTATTTGAATCATTTGTGGATTATGTGGCAGTAGAACAACTAGACGGTGACAACAAATACGACGCCGGGGAGCATGGCCTGCAGGTAATTTGGAAATTTTTGTGCCGGTGTCCTGGCGTAGCTTTTCACTTTCGCCTGAACTTTTTTGCGTAATTGTGAACTAACAATTTCCTCCTATCTTTTTGTATTCTGCTGGTATTTAGAACTCCGAGGAATTTTATTTTAGTCCAGACATTGTTTTAGAGAGCTGGGGGTGTGTCACTGGTATGATGGAATGGGATGGGGGTTGGGAAGGGGGCAAGGAAGGTGTTAGCAGGAAATTGAAGTAGAGCTTGTTAATCAGAGGTAGAGCTGTCACCTAGCACATCTGAGACCCTGTCCCTGTGTTTGAAGACTTTCTTCCATTTCATCTATTATTCTGTTTCTCCCCTGACTGATGTCAGTGCATGGGGTTCTCCTCAGTTTCTGTTGGTGATAAGTAGAACTTGTTGTTGGCATGCAGTCTGGCGTTGGCCGGTGTTGTGCTCTTTTGTGTGATGGAGGTGGCAGTTTTCTGAGGATCACGACTTCTAGACTGAGGAGCGCACTTTCTGTTATTTGTTCCATGGTAGTTAGTATCCGTGTTTGTTTTCCCCATCGCCCTTCAGAAACTCCAGGCTTCTGGCAGAGCCGTGAGCATCAGATAAAAGGGGCGCGCAGTGACCGGTTTCTGGCTGCCAGTCATGCTGGTGGGTGGGTCATCAGCACCGTCTCCGGACTAGGCCTCCAGGGTCTCTGTTGCAGCCTCATGACCTTGGCTCATAGGCTCAACTGATTTACTGTTTTTCAGATCATCCTGTGTTTACCAAGCCTGCTAATTTATAACTCGCAGTACCAGTTTGCAATGGGCCGTAGCTCTGCCCTCCTGCTTGGTCAGGCCACTGAGGGCACCAGGTTGCTTATCAGAAAGTCTCTTTGCAAACATGCATGTGGATGTGCTAGGAGACACTTCTGTGTTAACTCAGAAGAATTGTCTTTATCCACGCTGGATATTTGGGGTCTGGGCAAGCAATGCGTACTTCAGAGTCATAGTCTCAGTGGAGAAGGGTGGAGAAACAGAATTCTTTCATTATCCTTTCAAGTTGTACTGAAACCATGCCATTCCTTTGTGTGGTAGTAGGTTCTTGGGATTCGTGTTTTTTTTCTCCTCCAGATACCCTGTCTTCTTAAATGTGCCAGTGTACGCTGTAGAACATTGCCAAGTAGGTTTGCCTTGTCACAGCCACCTCTAGCAGGGAGACATCCTGCAGCAGGCGTTGGAAGAGGGTTTGCAGTGCAGTGGGAAGGTCTGGATAGGAAGTATGCCTGATCAGGGTCGCTGATGGCCTGGCAGTGGTTGGGTTTGGCAGAGGCTTATTTTAGTGAGGAATAAAGCCGCCTGAGGTGGGGCAGAGATGGAGAGAGGTGTGAGAGCTGCGGAGTCACAGGTCGCTCCAGAGAAGCCGAGTTTAGAATTCGGTGGGTGTCCTGTAGCACAGAGGCTGGCAGTAACTGGGGAAAGGCCGTGTAGGTGGTAAAAGGGTCTGCTGACACTGACTCAGGACATTCTTTAGACGGGGGTCTGAATGGTAAGGAGTGAGTGTATACTCCAGTGTGTGTGTTTTTAAGTTAACATAAAAGTCCAGGGAAGGGAAGCTGGCTGCTTAGCGTCCTCCCAAGCATGACTGTAGGTGGTGCTCAGCACAGCTCAGCTTACGTAATTGTAACCAGTCTTCTGTGTTTTCATGTAGTGTTTTTTTTTAATGTGTTCCTCATATTCTTCCATGTTTAATGACTAAATAACACATCCGAAAGTGACGAAGCTTTAATTTACTTAGCTATTCCCCTACGGCTGAATATCAAGGTAGAATCTAATCCAAAGGGGAACTCTTTCACAAGCTGTTAGAGGATTATTTTAATAGCACTAAATGCAGGTCTAAACAACATTTTAAAGGCACCTTAGATGGATCACTGCCTCTTCCCACCAGAAATCCCCAACATGTTCCAGTCTTACTGAAACGCTGTTGCTTTCATTGCTTTAAGAAATAAGTAGCGGTGAACTAAATTTGCATTTCTTTTTCAATGTTCAGGAAGCAGAGAAAGGTGTGAAATTCCTAACATTGCCACCAGTGTTACATCTACAACTGATGAGATTTATGTATGACCCTCAGACGGACCAAAATATCAAGATCAATGATAGGTAATCTAGAGTGGGGTATGGAAGTTGAGGTTTACTCATCACTTGGATTTTTAGGGGGTTAATCTTAGTGCTTTGTTTAGTCTTTCCGCACACATACACTCAGTCAGTCACTCACTCACTACTCACTCACTCGGTGTCCTCGCTGATTTATTTAGGTTTTCCTTCCACCTAGGTGTCCAAGAACTGTAATTTTACAGGGACAATTTTTCTTCTGGGGTTGCCCCCTTTGTATCTTTCTGTCAAGGTGCACCAGCCCCTCTCCACCGTGGCAGCCAATGTCTGTGAGGAGAGGGTGCTTTCTGCTCCAGCGACTTTGCCATCACCACAGTGTAGGTGTCACCTCAGGACTGGAAGTTGGTATTACTGTTTAAACAGGATTCTCCAGTATTTTGTAATATCTCAATTGGTGTTGACATGTAGAATGCAGTACCGATGTCAGGGATGCTGAAGTAGGTGTACATGTGCCCCATTTGAGATTCTTTTGTATTTTAAGAATCTAGAAAATAGTATTTTTAAGTAGTGGATTCTTAAAATACAAAACACAAGGATGATACTATATACTGAGTTATCTGGTTTAGAAAACAACTTTTATCTGGATTAGTTCGAGCACCAGTTTTGTAGAGAATAGAGGTTGGTCAGTCACTCTTCAGACTTGAAGGGCAAAGCTAACCCAGTCAGATTATTTGCAGCCAGCTGGGTCTCTGATTCTCTATTGTCGCCCTTTACTGTGGACTCTATAAGCAATCATCTCCACTAGATGCCACAGAGGCAGTGTACAGAGTAAGTCCAAGCTGCTGGTATGTTTTGTTGGGTCCTTACCTTGGTTTTCTTTCTATTTTTATTGGAACTAGTTTCCCACATTTCAAAATTACATGATTTCACATAAAAGTCCACATTTCTGGCATTCTGTAGGAACCGAGAACGTAAGGTGACGATGAGCCGGATTTCCCAGCCCAGGAATTCCGTGGTGGGCTGGCACGCTCGGGGGCTGCGCCCCCAGGGTCAGTGCGCGCTCCACCTTGGTCCTCACCGGCCCCCCGCACTTCCTGCCTTCCTCTGACAGCGCTCCCACTTACCATGTAATTGAAATGGTTATGGAGCCAGTAAGTTAAAAATAAATAGAGGCCAGGATATCCTTAGAAATCACAGGGTAGAGTTTCTTTTTTACATGTCCTCCTTATCCAAATTTGATTTTTCCCATGTGTCTCATACCAGCAGGACATCCTTAGTGTTCTCGGTCCTGCTCTGTCAGAACCATTCATGACACACGTTCAGTACTACTTACATTCCAGAAAAGTCACACTGTACGTTTGTCACAAAACTGATTGTTCGATCATAGCTTTGAATTTACAATTCTGTTAGGTATCTCGGTGCTTTATGGGCATTTTTCTCATATCTAGCTTCAAAGTTTGTATTGATGTAGGAACAATCCATTCTAATGAGTAGGAGCTTCCTTAGGAAGTAGTTTATCGGGCCTCGCAAGTCAAATTCATTCTTCCCTTTCCGAATAAAGATGAACCAAGTCAATTAGAAGGTCTAGGAATAAAAAAAGCCTAAAGATGAAGTTTTTTATGTGTAAATGAAATCTGGATTGCTTTAAAAAAATTTTTTTTTTAAAATAGGTTTGAGTTTCCCGAACAGTTACCGCTTGATGAGTTTTTGCAAAAAACAGATCCTAAGGACCCTGCAAATTATATTCTTCATGCAGTCCTGGTTCATAGTGGAGATAATCATGGTGGACATTATGTGGTTTATCTAAACCCCAAAGGGGATGGCAAAGTAAGTGCTGGGCTGGGGGCAGAGTAGGATGTGCTGCTCTACATCTGGGGATTACACTGATGCTCAGCCTCAGCCTTTTCCTGATTCTGCCTTATGGCCTTGTTAGCAAAGGATTCCTCCTGGCTTCTGACTTATCTGTATGTTCTCTTATGTATTAGTGGCTGACACTTTAAAGGTCAATGGTAAATTAGTGATTATCTTCAGGTATCTCTGTCAATATTGAATGTTGGACTCCACAGCACCTCTCACATCTAATATGAGGCACTTATTTTCCACTTACAAATAGCAAAAGAATAATCACTGGCCTGGGCAGCAAGGCAGCATCGATTGCATGATATTCCACACGCCCCATTGTCCACACAGTAATGCTCCATCTTTTCCTGGTTCACGTGGATCTCGCCACATAATCTTCACCAAACAGGGCAGATGAGGTTCTCCAGACCTGCGTCTAGGAGCATAGGGCCCGTGAGAACCGCAGCAAAGCTGGAGCCTACCTAGCTTGTGCTCAGCGAATGCCACAGCAGCAGACCTCTGTGAGCCTGTTACTGTGAGAATGAGTTCCAAAATGATCAATCCATGGCGAAGAGACTGAAGAACTACATGCAAGTTCTGTCTTTATTTTACAGTCAGGCCTTACTTGCTGTGATAATGTCATGAGACAGGATCAATGTCCCATTTAATTTTTTGAACCACACCATACAAATTTCAATTTTACTAGCTGAGGTAGGTGCATTCTGTGTAGCCTGCCTAACTCTGTAAAGGGTTGTAGTGTCAGTAGATTGAACCTAAGTATGAGGTGGGCTGGGTAGATTATAGACATTGCCGGTGGTAGAATATTAGCAGTTCCCCAAAGTATGGAACAAGGACGGCAGAAGGACTGTTGAGTTTTCTCAGAGGGATGCCTGAGGCAGAGTCTGGTTCATGACAGCATTAGACAGTCAGTTCTAGGAAAAGTGTGCCCTAGAGTTGGCGTGCTTCCCCAAGCGCTTTCTCTCTGCTGATGTCTCATTGCCCTCCCGCGCAGTGGTGTAAATTTGACGACGATGTGGTGTCGAGGTGTACGAAAGAAGAAGCAATCGAGCACAATTACGGGGGCCACGATGACGACCTCTCTGTCCGGCACTGCACGAACGCGTACATGTTGGTTTATATCAGGGAGTCCAAGCTGAGTGAGTAGGGGTGTCTGTTGTGCTCCACACCGTCGTGAGCTCTGTGGTACCATGAATCATTGCCGTGGCGTTTTAGGCCACGTTAAAGGGGACCTAAAGTGTGTCTCCTGTCCAAACACGTTTCCTTCTTCTTTTGCCTTATGCACAACATCTAGGAGCAGGGTGGGTTGGGCTTGTGGGCTTGATGTGGTACTCGTGACACCACGCAATTGGACTTTACTCTAGACTGCTATATTATTGACGAGGTAAACCTGGGACCTTCTACGAAGGGGAAAGTAGAACCTGACAGAAGTGATCGAAGATGCATTTGTCCCGTAGGTGAGGTGTTACAAGCTGTCACCGACCATGATATTCCTCAGCAGCTGGTGGAACGATTACAGGAAGAGAAAAGGATCGAGGCCCAGAAGCGGAAGGAGCGTCAGGAAGCCCATCTCTACATGCAAGTGCAGGTCAGCCTCAGTCTCCCGTGGCCCTGTGGCGTCTGGGGCTCCGGGGAGGCCTGCTGAGAGCTAAACCGCTCCGAGTGCTGGCATGAAGTTAGGCTTTTGCCGACGGACCAGGGATTGTTCTGGGCAGCCCCTTCAGCATTTTTAACTGAGTGACTGCACAGACCAGTTCCCCGACCCCTTGGAATATACACACCGGTTCCGGGTCAGGACTAAGATGTGAGAAGTGCTCAGGCCAACACATCAGAGTATTTATAAAAAGTACAGCGGGGTTTAGAGGGTGGAGGTCTCGGTGAAAGTGTGCATAAGAAGCAGGAGCTCCCGTCGGGAGGCAGAGCACAGCCCACACGGGGCGCGCGCAGGTGGCACTCCAGGCTGTGGAAAAACCTGACACACAGGACTGAGAAGGAAGGACTCCAACCTGGGAGGTGAACGTCCAGATGGTCTTTGTTGGTGACTCTGTTTCAATATTAGGAAACAAAGAAGCATCATTTTTACAAGTTAATTGCCTGGGGAAAGGGGCATTGTAACTTCTGTCTTTATAATATTTGGTGATCAGCATATTAGTGGATTTCTACCTAATGCTTATTGATGAGTTGAGAGCAGCTGCATGAAAATGGAGGTGGTTGTCTTCTTTAAGTGCATACCTTGATTTAGTTCATTTTGAAACATTTCTCTTGGGCCTTCTGAAGGAGGTTCCTGGAAGCAAGACTAGTTGTTTTTAGCATTTTACTACTTGAGCTTTTTTTTGATCGGTGCCATCTTATTTTCTTTTGTTTGTCATGTGTTTTGTAATGGTGCGTATTTTCAGATAGTTGCAGAGGACCAGTTTTGTGGCCACCAAGGAAATGATATGTACGATGAAGAAAAAGTGAAGTACACTGTGTTCAAAGTATTGAAAAACTCTTCGCTTGCTGAATTTGTCCAGAACCTCTCTCAGACCATGGTGAGTGCCAGTTGCTCTGCCGATGGTTATTTTGGCTTCCAAGTCCCACCCTCCTTCTTTGTATTGGACAAATTGTACCTTTTGTGGTAGGTGTTGTGTCCAGTCACTGCCTGAGAAGTGGTGGTTAGTGATCTGATGTTATTTCCTTCTTTGTGGTGCTTGTGTCTACCCTGTGACCTAATCCTTCAATTTGGTATGAAGGGAAGGAAGTTGAATGTGAACATGAATCTTCTCTTTAATACCTCCTCCTTTTTTTCTCCCTGTAAAATGGAATCTTCAGTCTTGAAATATTAGTGATCTTGAAGGCAGTTCACTGTTGCACAAATCAGCAGGCAGAGGTGTAGTAAAATATGTTTTTCTTAAAATCATGGGATAATTATATTCATACAGAATTGACATATGAACTGATTTGGTTTTAATTAAGTTGAAACTTTTTTTCCCCAGGGATTTCCACAAGATCAGATTCGGTTATGGCCAATACAAGCCCGGAGGAATGGAACCAAACGACCAGCAATGCTAGAAAACGAGGCAGATGGCAATAAAACAGTAAGTGTTATAACAATTACACATGTCAGTGTACTCTACTGTTGGCCTGGCAGCACATCTCCCCTTTTGTCCAGTTAGATACATTTTCTTCAGTATACAAGTATAGTTTTTCACTCTTCCATTCACCATTAAAATTTTACTAAAATTGGCATCTTTTTGAAATAGATGATTGAGCTCAGTGATAATGAAAACCCTTGGACAATATTCCTGGAAACAGTTGATCCAGAACTGGCTGCTACTGGAGGAACATTGCCCAAGTTTGATAAAGATCGTAAGTGCCTACCAAACACCCAACCACCTTCAGAGCAGTAGTGTTGGATTCCTGGGCCATTGTTCTAAACACACAATGTTAAGCATTACTCCCTTGCAAAGCAATCTCGTTAATTCCAAAAATGCTCATTCGGCCCCTGTCATGGTCAAGGCTTCCTGATGAAGTGAAGTACGACTGGCTATGGGTTGTAGTGTCCTGGGAAAGGGAGAAGGTAGCAGTGTTGAGTTGGAATAATTCCATCTTTAGTCTTGGCTCTCATGTTTTTCTGATCATATTGGTGTTTTATATATTGGACAGATTATATAGAGCAAGGGTTGCAAACTTTTTCTGTCCAGGTCCAGATAGTAAATACAGTTGACCCTTAAATAACATGGCCTTGAACTGCAGGGGCCTGCTTATACGTGGAGTTTTAAAAATATGTACTGTATGTATTTTTTCTTACCTATGATTTCCTTAATAACCTTTTCTCTAGCTTTAGTGTAAGAATATAATATACGATACATATAACATAGAAATATGTGCCAATCAATTATCTGTTAGCTTCTGGTCAACAGTAGACTATTAGTTAAGTTTTGGGGAGTCAATAGTTACACATAAATTTTTGACTGCTTGGGAGGGTTCCCCCAGTCCCTGAGTTGTTAAGGGTCAACTATATTTCATTCATTGTGGGCCATGTGGTTTCTACCTGTCATTGTAGCATGAAAGTGGCCACAGAGGATGTGTAAGTGAACAGTCTGGCTGTATTCCAGCACTACTTGATATACAAAACAGGTGGGTCAGCAATAGCTGGTGTGGCTCAGTGGTTGAGTGCTGGACTGCAAACTGAATGGTTGCTGGTTTTATTCCTGGGCAGGGCATATACCTGGGTTGGGGCCAGGTCCCCCTTGGGGGCTTGTGAGAGGAAGCAGATTGATGTTTCTCTCTTTCTTCCTCTCTTCCCCTCTGTCCATAAAAAAAAAAATAAAATCTCTAAAAAAACACATTGGGTCAAAGTTTGCTATAAGATTTTATTTTTATTGCTATAAGTGGTCACTTCTCCAGCAAAGATACACAACCATTAACATATATTCACCATGATAACACTCAGCCATGTAGTCAGTACCAGGTTTTAAACCTAGGGTTCCTAAATTCACTTATCCACACTGCGTCACATGGAGAATGCTTGGAGTGATGCTGCAGTTACAGGCCTCCTGTGACACAGTAACTTTTAGATGCCGTAAGCTGACATTTCAGTGGTTCACTAAGTTTACTACTACTGATTTTTTAAGAGTAAGTTACTGAGTGTTAAGGTGCTAACCAAACCTGTTTATGAACCTTGTAGATGATGTGATGTTATTTTTGAAGATGTACGATCCCAAAACACGGAGCTTGAATTACTGTGGGCACATCTACACACCGATTTCCTGTAAAATCCGTAAGTTTACTGCACTCACCTTCCGAGTTGATTTGGCTAAAGCCTTGGTGTATTACAGCTTTGGATTCTTTGCTTTTCTTTCTCCTAGGTGACTTGCTCCCAGTTATGTGTGACAGAGCAGGATTTGCCCAAGATACTAGCCTTATCCTCTATGAGGTTTGGATGGTTTATTTTTCCATAATCAATCCATTATTAGTGGTTTGGAGAGGGTTTGGAGTGTTCATTGCTTGTTTTGCTAGTCCTAAATTTATGTGTGATGTCTACAGCTGGGGTGCCCTGGAGTTGATGCCACATTTGTAGATTTGTGATTTTGACCAACTGAGGATCGATCAGTGATGATTACGTCTTTATGGCTATATTTTCCAATTAGCGTTTTAACTAATTAAAATATAAGGCCGCTACAATTGGGTGTAGAGACAATACATACAGTACGTGGCCATATTAAACATTAGACAAGTGTTGCATTATAACTATTCCATTTCTTCACTCTAGGAAGTTAAACCGAATTTAACAGAGAGAATTCAGGACTATGATGTGTCTCTTGATAAAGCCCTTGATGAACTAATGGATGGTGGTATTATAGTGTTTCAGAAGTACGTATTTTTTTAAGGATCTTATCACTTTTTGCTAACGTAGAAAGTATTTATTTCCTGTGTCCTACAACAGCAAAGAAAATTGTGTCTAGACCATGAGTCGCATTTTGTTTGAAGTTCTTCACAACGCTGACAGAAGTTAGCTGTCTCTGGGTTTTGGAATTAGGGGTGGTGAGCATTTTCATCATTTAATGCTCTGATATCCTAAAAATGTGCACACATCATGATAACTGTTAGTAGGGTGGCAAAACTCTTTATGAGATAGCAAGATTGCATTCCTTCCCTTAAAATATAGGGCATTTCTTAGAAAGTACCTACTTAGGTAATTGAGTTAAACTTGTCTGTAAAACCTGCAGCTCTGGGGTCTTCGTCTAAAGCAGCCTGGTGTTGCCTATTCCTTGCTCTGGAAGTGTCTCACTAGGACATTCCTGACATGGGTGGTGGGCAGGGCATGGAATGTAGTGGCCCACAGCAGGGCCTGGCACGCTTTTGTCATATGGGACGGGCACTCAGTATTTCAGGCTTAGCGACTACTCGATCCTGCTGCCTGGGTCTGAAAGGGCCGCCTGTGGACTCCTGATCAGACCACAGGCTCTGCCACGGCCAGCTGTGTGGGCCTGTTCTTCACCTGAGTCCTGCCCCTGTCTGTAGAGGAAAGGGCACTGGTCTTTGTATTGAGATGCTGGACAGGAAGCAGTTAGTACTGTGTGTGGCCCAGAGCACATCTTCTATAGGTGACTGCCTTTCTTCAGTGTCCTTGGCTTACAAAGATAGCTGCGAGGACCCCAGCCTGCTGGAATTTGACCCTAAGCGTATAGCCACACCTGTGGGTATCAGTGTTGCTTGAGATGAAGACCCTGGCCTGGGCTTTGATTCAGCCTGCAAATTGTTTTCTCTTCCCCCAGGGACGACCCTGAAAATGACAACAGTGAATTACCCACTGCAAAAGAATATTTCAGAGACCTCTACCACCGTGTTGATGTCATTTTCTGTGATAAGACAATCCCTGATGATCCTGGATTTGTGGTCACGTTATCAAATAGAATGAATTATTTTCAGGTATTTGATAAATGCTCTTCTCCCTTCAGATTCCACACTAGAGAGACCAAGTTCTTAAAAAATTCTTGCTGATGAGTCTGATGGATTGGGTTCAGGAGAAGGTGCTAGTCCCATTGTTTGAGGAAATTCATAACTCAAGTGGATTGTGTTAAGATCACCATGGGACCAAAATGGTTCTTTCCTCAGCCTCTACTCCCTAATCTACTACGACATCCACCCGCAGTCTTGTCCTTTAAAACCTTCTTTACGTTGTACAGTTTTGTTTCAGAGATAACAGTGGTAACAGCTCCTTTGCTTCAGGTTTAACATTGCCAAATGTAAAGCATTAAAAAAAAATTAATCAGAAAATTTAAAAATCTGTAGACTTCACCATTAAAGTGCAAAATCCTTTAAAAGTTGCCTTCATCAGATATGCTACTCCTATGGGTATGCTTTATTCTTGGTAGATAGTAAATTCCTAGGGCATTTAAATTGAGGCTATTCATTTCACACTTCTTTAAGAACATGAGGCAACTAGTTAATGATGGAGCTTATAAGCAAATTTCAGTTTATTCCCGGAATGTGAACCTTTCTGATCTACGGTCCATTCCCTTTTCAGGTCGCAAAGACAGTTGCACAGAGACTCAACACTGACCCGATGCTGCTCCAGTTTTTCAAGTCTCAAGGGTAAGCCACACTCAGGGACACTCCATGTCTGGTTGTTACTACATGCTTTCCATAGGTCGTGGAGACATCTTTGAGCTAATTTTAATAAATAGCTGGCCTCATCACCTGACACCATTTTTTGCTTAGTTTCAGATATAGAATTGTCACCACTCATATCTTGACCACACTACTCCAAGAACTCAAACTGACATGTCATCTAAAGTCAGCCTGATCTAAAGTTTGGCAGCCTCATCTACAGTCAGACTTACTTTAGATATGTCATCAATAAATACATCCCCCCTGCCATGTGTTCAGTGGGCATTGTCCCAGCCATACTTCTCTGTGCTGTGTGACCATTGCCGAGAGCGTTGAGGTGGGACAGCCAGAGGGAATGTAGACTCGGGAAATAGGAGCATTAGAGTGGAACCCTGTGCCAGGTCCCAATTTCAAGTCAGGTGCAAGGCCAGTGGTTTGCTTTTCTGCTCACTCACAGATACTTGTTTCAGGCAAATAAATAAATAAGTCATTTATTTATATGCTGTTTTCTTGTGTAGTTATAGGGATGGCCCAGGTAATCCTCTTAGACATAATTATGAAGGTACTTTAAGAGATCTTCTACAGTTCTTCAAGCCAAGACAACCTAAGAAACTTTACTATCAGCAGGTATGAGTCCAAATTAATGTAAACATGGGTAATAAAAAAGAAGCCTTGAGTATTTGTGGAAGCATATCTAAAATAAGCCTCTCTTTTCTTAATAGCTTAAGATGAAAATCACAGACTTTGAAAACAGGCGAAGTTTTAAGTGTATATGGTTAAACAGCCAATTTAGGGAAGAGGTAAGTAAGTTTTTTTTATTGGTTTGAGTTTTTATTTTTATGGGAGCTTGTCTACGGTTTCTACCTCCCCAGACCTTGAAAACTAAAATGACAAATGAAAGCACAATGATTGAACGCGTGTTACAGAGCCTTGGGCCCGAGGCTGCAGAGATTTGGGTCCCGTCCTGCCACCACCTCTAGGCCCTGGGGGATGAATAACAATGTCATCTGCCTGGACCCTTCGGGAACTCTTTCTTACTGGTTTGGACATCTCAAGTCAGTGCACTGCTGCTTGGCCAAGGGCAGTATTTCTCTGAAACCAGTTCAGATGTCAGAGAGTGCAGCCGCTCTCCAAGTGAAGCACACACCAACTGTGCTGGGCATTTACTTCAGAAGTTACTCACACAGGCTGCTCCAGCACCCTGTGCTTATTGTGCACAGAACACATGACATGCCCAGCCATACCTTAGGTGGTGGTTCTAGAAAGGCTCTTCTAGACATTAGGTGGTGGTTCTAGAAGGGATGCTCTAGACGTTAGGTGGCGGTTCTAGAAGAGCTGCTCTAGACATTAGGTAGTGGTTCCAGAAGGGCTGTTCTAGATCTGGAGTCCTTTTCACTTTTCTTGCTCTGCCAGTTTTGAGGGATAATTTGAGCCTCAAGCCATAGACATTCACACCTGTGTGGAGTTGATCAGGATGACATTATAGGCCCACCTCTGGTCATGGTCTAGGTTAATTAGTCTTCTTTCTCACTGTGCTGAGAATCGGAAAGGCTTGTAGATGATCTTTCATGGGGATCATTTCCTGAGAAGCTGTCCTGGAAATGGCAAACTTTCTGCACTAAAATGGCATTTTTTTAAAATTTTTTTTTAATGTATTGAGATGACATTGGTTAATAAAATTATAGAGGCTTCAGGTATATAGAAAGTGGCATTTCTTAAGGTCCCCTCATTACTCTGAGTCCCAGGTTTGGGCAGATAGTCTGAGTTAACTCAGACATCAGCCATTCTGGCAGGAATATAAATGAGGAAGTGCTGGGGAGCTAGAGACAGTTGAGGATGTCCTATAGTGCTTTTTTCCCTGTCTTCAAGCAAAATTGGTTTGCTGTAGCAGACCCTTTGTGTTTTCTTTAAAGCATTTGTTTCATCTTGTCATTTCTCAGGAAATAACACTATATCCAGACAAGCACGGGTGTGTCCGGGACCTGTTAGAAGAATGTAAAAAGGCTGTAGAGCTTGGGGAGAAGACATCAGGGAAACTTAGGCAAGTACTTCCTGGAGCCCTAAGGTGGGCGGGAGGAGCGGTGGTACCAGCCCCGGACGTGCAGTTGTGTTAGTGGAAACTGAACACAGCCAAGAGCCCTTGTGCGTTGCCGCCAGGCTCGTCTCTTAGCCTGTCTTTCGCAACAGTTTTTAAATATTTCGCAGTTAACCCATTTTTCCCTCCCTTCTTCCCAGTCTCTTGATATGAACTACCAATAGTAAAACCGTGATACTCAGGTAGAAAGGCGAAGCAGAGGAAGGCTGTGATTCAGTAGAATGATAACTGAAACTGAGAAAAGCTGCCGTGATTGTATTTGAGAAACTGGGCCACTACAGATCCGTGTAGCCATCATTCAGGCTGTGGGAAGCAGCTGCAGATGAGGAACAGTTTTTATTTCGGCGGGGGCGGGCGGGGGGATGGCGCTTTTCTTAGCATGTCACCGTGCAGTCAGCTTCAGGGGAAAACAGCCCTTGTGGCTGTGGACTCCTGGAACGTTTTCTCCCTGATATTATTAAAAGGAGACCTTTATTCTCTAAAGGGTAAGTGAGAACAATATGACAAGTCCCGCCTGGTGTGGGACTATTGGAGGGAAGGTCCGCAGAGTTGCAGGAGACTCGGCTTAACCGCCCGTTGCAAGTTGGATGGGAGGCTCCCCTTGACTCCCCTTGAATCACAGGCATCGAGGAGCCAGCTGACCGGTGCCGAGTCTGCCCCCCGGATGGCTGCTTTTGACATTCCAAATCTTTTGAAAAGAAAGAAGTGTATCTTGATAGCTTTATAATAAGAAAGCTATTTGTCATTCTTTATTTTTCACATGAATTTATATCTTTCACCCCTACCCTGTTTTGTACAGGCTGCTAGAAATTGTAAGCTACAAAATTATTGGTGTGCACCAAGAAGATGAACTATTAGAATGTTTATCCCCTGCGACGAGTAGAACGTTTCGAATAGAGGTAACTGTCCCTTTCTCGGCAGTGGCGAGAGTTCTGAGCCCTTGGTGGGCGGGGCAGCTGTCAGTCACCTGTTGCACTGTCTTACTGAGATAGAATATACGTAATGTGGAATTTACCATCTTAAGCGTACAGTTTAGTGGCATAAAGTACATTCGCACTGTTGAGCACTAGTCACCTCCATCCATTGCCACTGGAGAAGATCCTCATCTTCCCCAGTGGACACCTTGTATCCATTAACACTTTCCCTCCCCCAGCCTCTGGCGACCGCCATTCACTTTCACTGAATTTGACGACACTAGGCACGTCATATAAGTAGAATCAAGTGGTATTTGGACTTTGAAATGCATTAATTGCAAATGTTGGCCACCGCACAGCTCCATTCAGAAACTGGGTCTCTGTTGGTTTCTGGAGCAGCTGCAATTTCCACAGTAACTGGGAAAACCCATTATTTGGTGTCTTCAGATTTAGGTCTATTCTTGAAAACTTAGATATATTCTGGCTCTGAACTCTTACCATTGTGACAAGAGCCAACTGTGGCATTTTGGCAACAATACGACCTACTTCCTCATTGGAGGAGCAGGTCAGAATTACACCATGGCCTTTTCTCTGCATTGAGTGCTTTACTCACCTGTGTTTAAAATATATTCCCAGGAAATACCTTTGGACCAGGTAGACATAGATAAGGAAAATGAGATGCTGATCACAGTGGCCCATTTCCACAAAGAAGTGTTCGGGACGTTTGGCATCCCATTTTTGCTGAGGATACACCAGGTGAGGTTTTGTGGGTAACAGGTTGAGCGTCCGTGCCAAAAGGTGAAGCCTCACACCGGTTGCGGACTAGCGTTGCTAAAGCCGGTTTCCCGCCTCGGCAAGCGGACGGTGGGCTTCGATGGCGTCCGCGTGGGCCACGAGCGGCTGCCCCAGTGCGACCCGGGTGTGTGAGCACTGCTGTCCTCTCCCGTTCGTAGGGCGAGCATTTCAGAGAAGTCATGAAGCGCATTCAGAGTCTGCTAGACATCCAGGAGAAGGAGTTTGAAAAGGTACGCACTTCCTGGACACGCATTGCCCTGCGGGCAGCCTTCTGGAATCTAGACTAGAAAAGCGGCCCCGGCTTTGCCCGCGGTGAGTTTTGCTGACATCCAGCAGTGATGGAGGAGTTTGCATTTTTGTCTTTTAGTTTAAATTTGCCATTGTGATGATGGGCCGGCACCAGTACATAAATGAAGATGAGTACGAAGTAAACTTGAAAGACTTTGAACCTCAGCCTGGTAAGAGCCCTGCCCGGGTCTTCCTTCCACGTGGGGTTGGATCTAAGCAGCAAGCGGTAAGTGGCTGGAGGTGGAGAGCCGCGGGGCCAGCCGCCGCCTCTTCCATTTCCACAACGGGGCGACCTGGGCTTCCTCGCCTCCTCGGTAAGAGGAGGGACAGCAGTAACGCATGAACTCTCCCAAGGCTTAAAGCATTGCACGCGGCTGAGAGAAGCGAGATCCAAGGCCGAGGTGTGGACGGCTCTGTGTGACTGGCAGGCTCTGACAGTGCCGCACTTAGACGCCACCGAGGCATTCGGTCAGGGTGTGGGTGCCCTTGGCCTCAGGTGCATGTGCAGCCCTGGAGCCCCAGCCTCACTGCGAGCCCGTACCCGGGCGTCGGCTCTGCGCGCGGGGGTCCTCGCGCTCCTTCTGTGGTCTCATCGCCCCTCTCTCCCCACCAGGTAACATGTCTCACCCTCGGCCGTGGCTAGGGCTCGACCACTTCAACAAAGCCCCAAAGAGAAGTCGCTACACTTACCTTGAAAAGGCCATTAAAATCCATAACTGACTTCCTCACCCCGTGTGTGCAAGGCAAGGACCGCGTGTGGGTGTGTGCCCCTTTTTAACAGCGAGAACTTTGGTACACGTGTGCTCTGGCCGAAGTCTTCAGCAAGAGGATTTGCTGCTGGTGTTAATTTTATTTTGTTGAGGCTGTTCGGTTTGGCTTCTCTGTATCTATTGACTGCCCTTTTTGAGCAAAATGAAGGTGTTTTTATAAAGCTTGGATGCCAATGAGAGTTATTTTATGGTAACCACAATGCAAGGCAACTGTCAGCATAATGGGGAGAAGAGGTTAGGGCAGGAGTCCCCAACCCCAGGGCCACGGACCCCGAAAGGTCTTGGCCTGTCAGGAACCAGGCTGCCAGGGGAGCTCGCCTGAGCTCCGCTTCCGGCCTCCACCCCTGCTCCGCCCCCACCCCTTCCACGTCCTTGGCAGATCAGGTCCCTGGTGCCAAAGAGGTTGGGGGCCGGTGGGTTAGTGGAACGCGGGGCACTGGCAAAAGGTCTAGTCCGTGTCTGGTTGGCATAAGGTGCCTGGCTGCCTCCCGGGGTCGCGGTCGCCACCCTGCCCGCAGCTAGTAGTCTTATGTTTAGGCTCGTCCAACGTTATTTCCTTTAGTTACACTTGCAGTGCCCTTCTGTGCATCTGTAAAGGCGAAACGGAGAAACTTCACAGGCTAATAAATAGCGCTCTTTCCCTTCACTGCGTGTCCTGTCGCCCCTTCCTTGGTTCCCTCCCCGGCTGCCTGGGTCTTTACAATAAACTCGTCTCGTTTCCGTCAGCCACTACTGTTCTGCAGCCCATCCGCAACGTGGATGCACTGAATACAGTCTGACAGACTTTCTGGGGTCTTTTTATTAAATGGAAAGCACTGTTAAGTACAATTAAGGTGTACTATGCTGCCTGTCGGCAGACTTAATGATCTCAAGAGTCCGTACGAGCAGGTGAAAAAATTACAGATCGAACTTTCTGAAAATGGAACGGATGGAACAAAAACAAAAACAGGAGAGCCATTTAGCAAAGAGGGGGCATGCTCACTAGTGGTTAGTAAGCTGTTGACTTTGTAAAAAAGTTAAAATTAAAAAAACACAGGAAAAATGAAATTGTATATTTAATGAATGAACATGTACAATTTACCACTGGGAGGAGGTGACTTTTTGTTGGGTGAATCTACAAGTGACTCTCACTGATGTTGATATTCATTGTGTGTAGTTTTATTTCAGTCCTGACCCTTCTATTTTGGAGCTAATGCCAGCTGCGTGTCTAGTTTTGAGTGCAGTAAAATAGAATCAGCAAATCACACTTATTTTCCATCCTTTTCCAGTATTTTTGTTTGTTTCTGTAGCAGCAGTGTACACCAACTCTTCCTGTATATTGCCTTTTTGCTGGAAAATGTTGTATGTTGAATAAAATTTTCTATAAAAAATTATAATTCAGTGAGTGACGTGGAAGTTGAGAAAGACTTCTGCCTTCCCAAAAAGGGGCCTGGGAAACCTTTTCATTCATAACAAGGTTTTACTGAGATACCGTCCCTCCTAATTTCAGTATTGCCGATGTACCATACTGGCTCCTTTCTTTTCCTTTTCTTGGTTGCCTCTGACTAGTCTCATTTAAGCTAAAGAAATAAAAGTTTTCCAGCTGGGAACCATGGACAAATGAGATGACCGGAAGTAGTAGTAAAATGGCAGAGGCGCAGTGCACGGCCATTGGCGTGGCCGTGGCCGCGGCGCTCCACGTGGCTCACGTCAGCGGCCGCCGTGCACTGTTTCGGGCTATGAGCTGGTCTGTACCCCCGGGTGACTCCTTCCCAGTTCCCGCCGCGACGTGTGTGTCTTCGTAGCCCTAGAGCTGCCCTTGGGCATTGTATGGATGGCACTGCCCCTCTCTTTTTCGGTGAATGTGTTGATTTTTTGTTTGTTTTAGGTTTTGGCTGAAGGTAGGTTAGTCTTGGGTAACTGGAACGATAATCTCCCTGAAGTTATTAAATGACTTTTTACAGAATTATTTTTTTCTACACTGTGGATGACATGTGCTTCATTGTCTTTTCCATCCACTATTACGCATCTGAGGTCACAAAAGTGATCCTGGGGCCAGGGATGGAGACACGCGGCCTTCCAAACAGCTCTCTCCGAAGCCCCGAGGATGTTCCTTCCTTCTCCCTCGAAGATGTCGATGTCTCACGTTGGTGATGCGAGTCCTGGAATGATGGGTCCCTGGCAACCATAGTGCAGCGGGAAGGAGAGGGGCCCACCCCGTGTGGACCTGGAAGCAGTGCGATGGAGGACAGGGTCACACAGTAAACTTAAAAGAGCATCCTAGGTAGGGAAGAGGGCTTGGCCATTGTCATGCGTTTCAACAGCCATTCCCAGAGCACTTTCCCAAGGTCCCTGCCAGTGCAGGGAGGGACCGTCTTTGAAATGGATTGCTGGCCTTTCTCCGAGAGCTTCAGGTCAGCTGTGTCGGGGACAGCCACATCCAGCAAGAAGCGAGGCACACGTCTCCAGTAGCGGTTGCGAGCCTTACCATGTTAATATGTTTTAAAAGCCAGAGTCTCTGTGTACCACCCTGGGAGGCGGGGCTGTGGCGTGTGACGAAGTGCGAGGGAGAAGCCTCCGCAGCTGAGGCCCCCAGTGGGGCAGACCCCAGTAACTGCAGTGGGAACAAGCTGTGTCTGGAAACCATCCGTCCCTAACAAGGCCTTCACGTGGCTTTCCTCACGCATACCGGTCTGCACCTTGTTTTGAGGCAGACGTGCGTGGTTTGGGTGGTACGTGGGAATGGGACCTCCAGCAGTTCACTGATGCTCCCGGTTTGAAACCACCCGTGCAGCTGGGTGTGTGATCAGCTTTTGGCTCTGCGGGCCCTGCGGTGGTGTTGGCGGGACTACAGCTTTGCCGCTGGAGCCTGACCGCAGCTGCAGACCACACTTAAGTGGATGGGCGAGGCCGAGCGTGGTAGCACTTCATTTATGAAAACAGGCACACGTCACAAAGTTCACTGACCCCCCGGGCTGGAGGGAAAAGGAGCATCTTTGGGGGATTCCTAGATGGCTGTTGCCATCTGATTAGGATGGTCCACCAGGGAGAAGGTGCATCAGAATGACCGTGGAGCTTGGCCTTGCCCCCTCACTGAACACATTTACAAATACTGTCAAGTTAGAACCATGTATCCCATGTCTGTCTGGTGGCTGATGATGTAGCGTTTCTGGCCGGTCTTGGCAATTTTGTTGTGACCTGGCGCTCTCCAGTACTGTGAGCCAAGGTGACTTTTCATCTGCACTGGTCCGTGCAGTAGGCACGAGCCCCAGGCGGCTATGGGCGGGCGTACCTGAAATGCAGCTAACAGGGCTGAGGGCGTGAGCCTAAAGTCGCCACGTGCGGCTAACGTCAACCATACTGGATAAAGCCGTTCTAACCAAATTTTCCTCACTTTGTGGTTCGTTACAAAAAGCCCCAGCACACTGGGGCTCTAGTTTGCCTGAGCTTTTTCTTAGCGAAGCCTTATGGGGTGTTCACGCACTGGACGGGAAGAAACTTGGATAAGGGCCCAGTTCCCTATACCTTGCCCCTCACTGGGGAGTGGGAGCTTGTGCTGACCTGGCCTTCCCGTCTTGGGGGCCCTTAGGGGAACGAACAGAGCCGGCTGTGTCTGCAGGTTCCAGAGGAAGGGCTCATGCATGTCAGCTCCACGGGGCCACCGACCCCACATGAGGCCAAGAACGATCAGTGGGTGGATCCAGAGTGGGCATAGGGGTGTTGACCCCGAAGATTCTGCCTAACTTGATGTATGTTTAAAAATGTCACAATATAATGTTTGGAGGGGAAAACCTCCCCCCTCGGTCCCTGGGAAGCCTAACTCTGTGAGAGTGCTGTTGGCCTGTCCCCTCCCTCACCCGCGAGGAGTGGGCGTCCTCAGCCCTTCCAATGGTCTTCTGCAAAGTTAGCGTTGCAGTGGGGGGTGGGGGTGGCCGTGTTGAGCTGGGAGGCCAACGCCACGCTGTCCTGTGTCCTCTTTTGATAAGGAAGGTGGGGGCATGTCCTGGCTTGGGTCTGGCCACAAGTCGGCAGTCCTCCAACAACTTGCCGCTGAGTGTGCCGCATCTCGATTCTTAGTGAGGCATGGAGGCATCCGAGAGTGACCAGGACACGCACTTGGAGGCTGAACTCTTGGGGCTCTACGTACAAGAGCTGACATTGAAAGAACCCCCGCTGCCACCGTGCCATCCGTTCCCCAGGTGCCCCAGCCGGCCGTCACTGCGTGGAAGGAGGGCTGTCCCCCTTCAGATGGATGCCGCAGGAACCCAGGGCAGGACAGTGTCTCCCTCGGAGCCCTGGGCCCTCCTGTGCACGCCATCAGAGAGAAACCTTGGGCACGCAGAAGCCGGTCCACCTTCAGGAAAAGGTGTGTGCAAGGAGAGAGGCTGAGACCCCAGGGGCCCAGGCTGGTTGTGCTCTGAGATCCTAGGACAGGAGAACTAGGCTGCCCTGGGGCCGGGCCTCGGGCACCGAAAGCCTAAGAAACGGAAACGGTGGTGTAGGTGTAGCTGTCCAAGGCGGTGAGCAGGGCTGCCCTTGCATGATGGGGACTCACGATGGAGGCTGCGAGGGCTGGGCCAAGGGGGCAGGCATCCTTCAGTCTGATGGTTGCCGAACCAGGGTCCTGTGCGGCTGGACCTTCAGAGAGATTTTAAAGAAGCTGAAACTCTGGATTTTCAATGCGAGTCTCCTGATTGTTTTAAACGACATTTTCTTAACACTGGGCAGCCTGAATCAGAAAGGCCTGGGGACTGGTTCATGGCTCACAGAAGGGTGCTGCCCGGAGGTGGGCAGGACCTTGTGGAAGGCGCAGTGGTGGCTGAGCCAGGCCAGTGACGGAGGACCTGGGACGCCACCGACACGGCTGGCGGGACGCTGATGTGCCACGATGGCCCTGCCGTTGCCACGGAAGTTGCTGTCATGGAACTAAATGCGTGGGTCTCTGGACTAACTGGGGATCCAAGTCGAAACCAGCAAGTTGCCTGGCGAACATGGGGTCAGGACACCAGCCTTGAGTCAGGCTCTGGACGTATCCGGTTCCAGCCACAGGCTGGCCTTGGCCTCTCCAGCAGAGCCAGGCCTGCCCTGTGACCGTCACCCGCAAAGCCTGGGTGCCTGTGCAGAGGTGTGCGCTTCCTCACAGACAGCAGTTGGCCAAGTCCCAAGTCGAGACTCGTTCCTTGATAGTGGTGGCCAGTGGGCCCGTCCTGGCCACTGTGACTTGACTTTGTCATAACCCTCGCCCTGTTTTGAGACGGTGTGGTGTCGCCTCTGAACATACCTCCTCTGGGGCAGGGAGGGCCGTCAGGGGCACTTGTCTCCTTCGAGGAAGACCAGGGTAGAGTACCAGGGAGGGGGAGAAATTATTGTGCCGCGAAAAGGACAGGACTGAAGGGTGGTGCTGAGGGACCCTAGGGGCCTGGAATCAGAGCGGCTGCAGGGACGTGGCCACGTCATTCCCAGCCACCAGGGCACAGGAGTTGAGAAGAGCGAGTCACCTTGAGACCTGTTGGGTTTGCAGGGCTCAGGAGGCACTCAAAGGAAGGACGGAGGGATGCAGGCGAGGATGGAAGCCTCAGGAGTGATGTGAGAAGAGACCTAAGACAGGACCATGCAGGGGGGCATCAGGAGGACAGGGCGTTGTGGCAGGGCACACAGGAGGTGGCCCAGGAACCGCTGTAGAGCAGGGGGGCAGCAGAGGGAGGGTCAGGGGCTGCAGAGAAGCCAGGCAGGTGGGCAGGAGGGGAAGTGTCCCATGGATGTTGGGTTTAGCAGCAGGAAGTCACCGGTCCAAGCAGGCAGGGCAGGGCCAGGTGTGGGCCTGGCTGCGGGTCCCAGAGTGAGTGGCAGGAGAGGATGTGTCAACGTTACAGTAAGTGCAGGTCTCCCCTGGCTGCGGCTGCAGAGCCATTGACACGAGGACGTAGAAGCTTGAGCTGATCGATGGACTGTGGTTTTTAAGGGGTAGGAAGAGCATGGGCCCTGAGAAGAAAGCGCGAGGCATAGTTCATTCACCCGGTGAGTGCTGGCTGAGCACCTACTATGGGCAGGTGGGGGTCCAAGCGCCAGCCTGACTGCATGGGGTGAGGAGAGCACTGGAAGGGAAGGGTGAGTGGCTCTTCATACCTTCCCAAAACAGTGATTGGGGTTGGGGAACTCCAAAAGGACAGACACAGGCAGGTAAAGGTCCCTTGATTAACTTTTATTTCTTAGAAGTTCACAGGCGACGGTAACGGAGGATTTTGTGCCCACATATAGGGCATGTGTGCTTCACGTCCATGAGACTCTCCACGCAGAAGGGGATGAGACAGCAACCCAGGAAACACCTGCAGCCTCGGGAGCAGCAGGTGGTGGGCTGGGGTGCAGGCTTTGGGAGGTGCAAAACTCGCCCCCCGACCCTGCTCTCTTAGGACAAGGCTTCCCCACTACCACCCCGGGTCCTGCCCTGCCCCCTCTGCCGGGCGTCCTCTGCACCCCGGAGGCCCTTCCCTACCGATGGTCAGGGCCCCACTCACCCAAACACGAAGAGGCTCGTGCACAACATCCAGGTGAGGACCCCCGGGACCGGGGTGGTCACCGTGAGGATGTAGTTTCCACAGTAGGGACAGGGGAACTGCATAGGCATGGCAGACGCCATCCTAGGCACACCGCTGTACACAGCTTGGGGACCGGGAGGGGAAAGCTCAGACCTCTCGGCCGCTCCTCCCACTCCCTGGTGCCCCCACTGGGCAGCCCCTGGCATGGCCTCGCGCCTCTGCAGGGGCTCCCCTGAGCAGCCCCGGCTGTCCACATGGGCCCCTGCGTCCCCCTGCAGCCCCTTCCCTACCCACCACCAGCCGTCAGGGCTCAGGGTCTGCCTCAGGCAAGACGCCTTGCCTTCCGTGGCCAAGGGACCCAGGGAATTGGGGAGCAGCTCTGGGTTCAAGCTCACACTTCACTTCCGTGTGTTCCCCAGGACATCCTGCCCATACATCCCCTTCCGGGTTTTGTTTAACTCAGCCAGAGCTGGTTTCTAACCCTGCAGTTTAAAAGCTCTGGCAGACACCCTCGGTAAAGCCGTCGCACTAAAAAGGACCACCACCACCACTACCAAAAACCCAAAAGCCTTCCGGGTGCCATTCTTGTCTCTCCCTGTTGCATTTGCACAGAGGGACCCAAAAGAGTGTGTTTTGCTCCTCTCAATACTGCAGCCATGTCCACAATCTTGGGTGTGCAGAGAAGGATGGGCTTTGGATTTACTGGCTGCGTTTGTTGTCAGGAAAACCCAGTTCCAGGGAGCTCTGGTGTTCTGGACTGAAGGCTCAGGGCCTCGTCTGGGTGGACTGTCCAGAGCCCTGAGGAGGGCTTATGGCCGCGACAGACTGGTTTCTTCTGGGGTCCAAGGTGAGGGGGTGCTGGAGTTGGAGAGCTGGAGCCAGGTGTGTGGGGGCGTAGACTCCTCAGCTTGGCAGAGAACTCAGGAAAGAACTACCGATGTCTAGAAGGGGGTGACCCACGGACTCTAATGGCCTTTGCAACAGCAGGATGCCATCTTCGTCCTGCTCATGGGAAGTTTACAACCGAGCCCAACAGCCTCCGCCTTCAGAGTGTTCCTGAGCTCCTTGGCAAGTGCGCTTAACAATCCAAAAGCCCAGGCCCCACCCTGGGGGGTCTGTATTCCCCTCATCTGTGGTTGGAGGTAGTGCCTTTGCAGGGTAGAGAAGAGGATTTTACTCCTGAGCGCCTACTGTGTACCAGCCCCCTGTGCCAGTGATTTCACATTGGAGCGACGTGCTCATGGCCATGGGCAAAGTGGCCACTGGTGGCTATGGGGTCAGGGAAGGAGGGCTTCCCAGAGGAGGTGCTGTTTGGGCAGAGTCCTGGTGGGTGGTCAGGTTAAGGAGGGGAGGCGTGCAGGATCACTCACGTGTGCGAACAGCTTGGGGGCCTTGGAAGTACATTGGAGGAGGTGGTTGACTTCTTGGAGGTGGAGGAGGAGGTGGTGGAGGAGGAACAGGGGGAGGCGGTGGTGGTGATCGCTCTTTGGGAGAAAGAAAGGAAAAGCACTCTCAGGTGTGATGGCCCACTTTGTGCCAGGCACTGAGCGGATATTTTGGTTAGCCTGAGGGAGAAGCCCATTTTACAGGAGAGAAAGCTGAGGCCTAGAGGAATGAATCGAGTTGCCCATAGGTGGAAGGCTGTTTGGACAAGAAATTCTGGGATCCTACATCTCTAGAAAGGTCTGAGGTAAGGAGGTCCTCGGGGTCCTCACCTGGATGCTGCGGTCTGAGAGAGGGGATGATGGGAGCCCCATAATTTTAACAACAATGTGGGCGATGGATGGAGGTCCCCATGTGTTTCATTGGGAACCACACGGGTGCTTTGCACAGGAACCTGACCCTCCCAGGAAAGGAGCCTCATGACTTGAGGGAGCCCCTGGTTTCTCCCCACCCAATGCCTTTCCCTGGAGCAGGAGCAACCAGAAAACAGGAGCCCCCGCCCCTGATCTCTGCCACCCGGACTGGACTCCTCGGGACAGGAAGAGGTTTTATACCTACTTGGTGCCCCCAGCAGCCCCACTGGGGGCTGTTTTTTGTACCCATTTTACAGATGACAAAACCGAAGTTCAGAAACTAAGTACCTAGTTGGGGCTGCGAGCTAGAAAGCCGTTCTGATCTCTTACTGAGTTAGCAACTGCCCGGCCCTATGACAATCATCTTATTTAATTCTTTCAACCATTTTTCAGATGAGAAAACAGATTCAAAGGGATTTGGTGACTTTCTCCAGCTGAGACCAGCATGGCCAGAACCCCCCCACCCCCCGCCTCACCCCATCAGCCTCGGTGTGTCTGTGGGGAGAGGAGGGCTGGCCATACCAGACATAGGGTAGTCATCAGCTTTGTTCCACGATTTCCTTGTGACACTGTGAGAGGGCACAGGATGTTCAAGACCTCACTTTGTCCCCATGGGGTCACATGGCCCCGGGTTTGTGGGGGACAGCGGGACTAGGGGGAGGTGAGGGCTGGAATCAGCCCCCAGCTCAGCAAGGGGACACACAGTCTTCTCTCGTGCTTCCCCGGGGCCCCACCTTCAGCCTGTCTCTGGCCTCTCCCGGCCCCGACACCTGAGGGCTCCCTCACCCTGGGGAGGAGTCCATGTTGGCACACCGGAGGTCTCTTGTTCCAGCAACGGCATCAAAGCAGCATCGAGTTCCGAGTTCTGAGCGGCTGAGCGCTTGTCTCCAGCAGCCCTCATTGCGGCCTGGTTGCCTGTGGACAGGAGTGCAGGCCGCCTCCGGTGCCTCTGGCTGGGCCTGGCTCAGGTGGAACAGCCATAGTGATTGTGTGTCCTCACAATGGCCAGAGGGGTGAGTGTCATCCCCATTCTCTGCAGAAGGGGGCGGGGCCTTCCAGGGCCCAGCTTGAGGAACCTCTGAAGATGGCCCTTCGCCACTTGTCCACAGCCCCACGCTGTGTGCTGTGAAGAAACTGGTACTGAGGTCACGAGGCAGGGTGGCAGAACCGGCCTGGAGCCTTCAAGACACGAATCTGATTAGAGCTAGCAATTCTGCTTTGAGGAATTTTATCCTGCTCCCTGCAAAGATCTAGCTGGGAGGATATTCATGTTCTCTTATTTGTTGGTAGGTGTTTATACATACATACACACACATATATACATATATGTGTGAGGTCCGTCTGAAAAAAGTCCAGCCATTGTTAATATAACGAGCACTGGTATGCGCGACATCAGTGTAACCTGGCAGCCAAGGCAGTGAACTGGAATGCACTTGTATGAACAATGATGATTTCACTGTATTAATCAGGTGGGCATATAGTAGTAGTCGGTTGGGGTGGTAAATGCCTTTGAGTAAGGATGTGTACTGTGTGGCTGCCGTATTACTAAAGACCAAGCGAGTAGAGCAATGAACCTGCATCAAATTTTGCATTGACTCTTTTTTTAAGTATATTTTATTGATTGTGCTATTACAGTTGTCCCCATGTTTTTCTTCCCTTTATCCCTCTCTGCTTTGCACCCCCCACCCCCGCCCCAGCATTCCTCCTTCTTAGTTCATGTCCATGTGTCATACATATAAGTTCTTTGGCTTCTCAGTTTCCTATACTATTCTTAATCACCCCCTGTCTTTTTTGTTCCTACCAATTATACTTCTCACTCCCTGTACCTATTCCCCCCATTCTCCTTCTGCCCATCCCCACTGATAACCCTTCATGTGATCTCCATTTCCATGATTCTGTTCCATGTTCTAGTTGTTTGCTTATTTTTTGTTTTATAGGTTCAGTTGATAGTTTTGAGTTTGTTGTCATTTTACTGTTCATTGTTTTTGATCTCCTTTTCTTAAATAAGTCCCTTTAACATTTCATATAAGGACTTGGTGATAATAAACTCCTTTAACTTTACTTTGTCTGGGAAGCACTTTATCTGCCCTTCCATTCTAAATGATAGTTTTGGTGCATAGAGTATTCTTGGATGTAGATCCTTGCCTTTCATGACTTTGAATACTTCTGTCCAGCCCTATCTTGCTTGTAAGGTTTCTTTTGAGAAATCAGAAACTTTGTGTTAACTCTCGAACATTCCTCTGTGGAAACTATTTGGATGATTCTGAAGACTTTTGGGGATAATACAGTGAGTACAGCACAAATAAAAGTGTGGCACAAATGCTTTAAATAAGGTTGAGAATCTGTTGAAAGGGATCTACATTCTGGAAGGCTGGCAACAAGCAGAACACCTGAGAATGTTGAATATATACAGGCTGCGATCAACAAAGAATGGTGACTGACAGAGCTAGAAGAGGAAGCTGATCTGGGGATTCCAAAAACTACTGTGTCTGAGATTTCAATGCAGGATCTTGTCATGAATCATGTTGTTGCAAAATTTGTTCTGTGGCTTCTGCTACCTGAGGAGAAGGAGCACATCGTGCTGCATAGTTGGTAATGACTTGATTCAAATTGTTACCGATAAACCACATTTCCTCAAGAAGGTCATAACCCAAGATGAGTCATGGCTTTACGGCTCTGACCTGGAAACAAAGACCCATTTGTCCCAATGGAAGTCACCTGGTTCTCCACACCCGAAGAAGGCACGATAAAGTCACAGCGAGATCAAGACCATGTTAACTGTGTTTTTTGATTGGGAAGGTGTTGTCCATAGGGATTATGCTCCTTCAGGCCAAACAATCAATTATGAGCACTAACTCAATGTCCTTCATCAGTGGAAAGGTGCAGTACAATGAAAATGGCTGCCGCTATGGGCAACTAGTGATTGGCAAGCTTCATCACGACAGTGCACCTACTCATGCATCACATCTCATGCAGAGTTTCATGGTGAAACATCGAATCACCCAGGTGACTCGACCCTCCTACAGCCCAGCTTTGGTGCTCTGAGACTTCTGGTTTGTCTCCAAACTAAAATCACCTTTGAAAAGGAAGAGATTTCAGACTGTTGATGAGATTCTGGAAAATACAATGTGGCAGCTGATGGCAATTCCAACAAAGGATTTGCAGTGTTGAACAGTGGGAGAACTGTGTGAGGTCCCAAGGTGCCTACTTTGAAGGGGACTGAAGCGTCATTGTCCTGTGTACAAAGTTTCTTGTACTTTATATCTTCTTCAATAAATGTGCCTATTTTTCCTATTATGTGGCTGGATACTTTCTGGACAGAACGTATATGCATGCATTATATGTGTATGCACATGTGTCTACATGTGTAGAGATCGCACAGATGTATGTATACACATATGTAAACATGTGCTACAGGCATGTGCACACATTTGTGTGTCTGCATATGTGTATCACAAGTTCGACTGTCTCTCCTGCTTATGTAGCTGTGTAAGTTCGGGCACGATCCTCACTTTCTCTAACCCTCCATCCCCTGGCTTACTCATCTGTAGAATGGGTAATAATAGCTACCTACAGGGTTGTTAGGAGATCAAATGATACAACCCAGGTAATGGATTCCGCCAGGTACAGCAGATGAAGCCCTCATTGTCCTTTTGAAGTGATGAGCGGCCTAAATAGCCCAGGATACATGCTCCCAATTGCAGAGGGTGGGCTCTGTGCGCAGGCTGGCTCAGTGCCATAGCGAGGCTCACAGCCAGGATCTGTGCGAACAAAGGCACGTGCCTGGGCCAGTACACTATATGGCTCCTCATGCCGCAAAATGTGGGGAACCATCCAGGATAGCCTGCTCGTCATTCAGTCTGGCAGCAACCACAAGTTCTGGTGAGTCGGGGCAGACGGGATTTGGTGATATCTAGCACAGTTACAGATGTGGGACCTGTGGAACCAGCACTACTCTTTCTAGATACCCATCCCCCAGAGAGACTGTCAAAAACATCAAATGATGTAAGCGCAAGGCTATTCAATGCAGCAGCAAAAACCAGACATAAAACAAATGTCTACCCATCTAGCTACGCTTCTGCTCCCAAAAATACAAGGAGGGAGGGGACTGAGGAAGGGAGAAAGAGACGGTGGGTAGTGAGAGGAAGGAGGAAAAAAAGAGAAAAGCTAAAAGAGGAAAATCTCCATGTATTGCTCATGTAGTTTCTCCGGGATATACTGATATATTGTTAAGAAAAACAAATATAAATTTCCCTGCTTTCTGTGTGGAGCTATATAATTTCCATAAAGAAATAAAGGAAGCATTAATAAAAAAACTAAAGTGGTTGACATTGAGGGAGACAAGGGTGAAAGCAGGCTTTCCCTGAATATACTTTGCTTTAGTGCTTTGGCTTTGGAACCATACCATTATTTTTTTCTAATTACAAAGAAAGTTTAAAAAAAAAGCAATGCTGAAAAATGGAAAGCATCCAACAACAGAGACATGTGATTACATATCAGGATTTCTTACCGGAGACACAAAGCACAAGCCATAAAAGAAAAACTCGAAAAAAGACTATCAGAGCTAAGAGTGCCAGCTCTTTAAAAGACACCACAGATAAAACAAAAGGCAAGCCATGGCTGAAAGAAAACATTTACAATCTATGTGTGTGACAAAACCGAGGTATCCAGAATATAAGAGAGCTCCTTCCACTCAATAATATGTATTTTAAAAAAATGCAATATGGCAGTGGGCAAAAGACCTGAACAGACACTTCACAAAAGAAAACATCGGAATGACCAATATACAAAAACAAAAAGCCATAGGTACCACTGGTATAAGTAAAAAAAACAACAAGAACAACACAGACAATCCCAGGTGTTGACAGTGTGGGGAGCAACTACCACCGCATACACTGCTGGTGTGAGTATAAAATGGTGAATTGCTTTGAAAAACTGACAGTTTCTCATTAAAGCAAACATACACTCACCTGTGACCACCAGTTTCATTCTGAGATTTGTACATAGGAGAAATAAAAACATATGTTGAAAAACAGACCCGTATGAGAAAATTTGTAATAGCCAAAATTTAGAAACAACCCAAATATTTGTCAACAGGTGAATGTGTAAACAGATTGTGTGTATTCACAGCAAAGACTACAGTGCAGCAATAAAAAGAATGAATTATTGATGTACTCAGCAAGCTGTATATATCTCAAAAGATGATATTAAGCAAAAGAAACCTGGCCTAAAAGACAACATCTTCTATGCTTGTGTTTATTTGAAGTCCTAACACAGGCTAAGCTGTGCGGTCTGATAAAAGGGAAGGTGCACCTGCAAAGGGAGAGAATCTGTGTGCAGGCAGGGGCGCCGGACAGAGCAAGTGCTACTCTTTCATCGACGCTGTGGATCTGCGCACTGTTACAACTGTTTTTCAGCTGAAGTGGAAGGAAGTGTCCTGAAGAATCTCCTTCCTGATTCCCACAAAGGTGTTGTCTTCCTAGGAAGATAAAATACCTGGCTCCAGCAGCACCCTTCTCTCAGCTGACACTCTAACCTCCTCTCCACTGCTTACCAATACCCACGGTGTCCACGCCCATACGCGTATTGGTGTCTGAGATTTAGTGCCTACTGCATCCTCGAGCACCAGCATGAAAGATGTGCTCAATAAAGACAGGTGCCAAAGAAATCAAGATGGTGGAGGAGTGGATGGAAGTCATGCTGACCTCCTCCCAGAACCAATCTGGAATTACAACTAAATTGTGGCGAAATCACCTGGAACAAACAACTGAACAATAGCGAGAGAGGAGCCATATAGCCCCGCACAGACAGAAGAATCAGCTTTAGCACAACCTAACTGGTAAGGAGTGCCGTAGTGACTAGAGAAGGTAGGCGGGGCACCCATGGGCGGCAGCACTAGAG